CCTGCCTACCTCAGCACTCTTGTGTGCCAGCCACAAACAAAGGCTCTTGGTGAAAACACAGTAGTAACAGACACTGCTCTGCCCCTTGGAATCCTTCAGGCTTCAAGCTCTCACGGCCCACACGGAAATGCTCCTCTGAGTGTCCAGCAACTGCCCCTTGCCTGCAAGGGCTGCCTCATCCAAACACACATGCCCCCAAGCCTGCTGCTCACCACCCCATGACGGCTGCCTAGAAACGACCTTCATACCTTTTTGCTGCTGTGGGGAGTGGAGGGAGGGGCATTGCACAAGGGCAAATACACCTCCTGCTGCGAGATATTCACCCAAGGCACTCCTGCCCTTCAACAGCATTCCTCGCACCCCTCTCTTCCACCGCACCCCTCTCTACCCACCTCCTTGGCTATGCTGTAGCCATACCCTGCTTGGGCCAGCCACCAAGCGAGCTTTCATGGTCAGGAAAGGGCTCCAAGGACACTGCGTTCACCCCAGACTTGATGTGAGAACAGCTCCTGCTCCTTGTCCTTGCTGGCAGCACGGCTGCAATTTCCCTTTCCTTGCAAGGCCACATCCTTTCCAGGCAAAGAAAGAGCTCCTCTGCGCTTCACCCTCTCTCACTACACACTCACGGGCCTCGGGCAACAGCCCCCATGCTGGGGCAAAGCTCACTCACACACACAACTCCTCTCTTGAGTAGGCTTGACAAGAGCAGGCAGACTTTTCCTCAGCCTCACAAAATGGCCTTGGGCCCCCAGCCCTCCTGTCACCACCTAGAAAGCAGCCTGTTTCCTTCCCCCTAAAGGCTAGGAGAAAAGGGCCCTCCTCTTCCGGCAGGAGGACTTGCACTGAGTGTCCCAAAGGTCTGTAACCTGGAAGCAGAGGCAGGAGAAGTGGGAAGCCAACAGCAGGGTCTCCTAAGCATTTGCTCTGGGCTGCCCATCCAGCAAGGGATCACTAGTCACTGTGGAATGGGGGGAAAGGCCTTGGGAGTTATATAGACGGTCACCCTCCTCCATTGCTGCAAGCAGCTCACGTGCCATGAGGATCTTTCCCCTTGGCTTTCTTCTCCTTTCCTCCCTCCAAATGGGCAGCCACAAATTCGAGGGGGGAGTGCCGCTCCCACAAGAGGCGGCGCCTCGCACGAAGATTTCCTGTAGCCAGGAGACAAGACAACACTTCAGAAGAGCATCGCAGTGACCATCTGAACAGGAGTGACGTGCACGTCTGCTCCAGCCTGGGATGGAACTGGCAGGCCTCAATCGGATTCCTTTGAAGCCACGTTTCCGAGGCCGTCTAAGGCCCTTCCTCGCACTGGCTCCTGCCCAACTCTCTCTGTTTACCTTGCTACATCATTGCTTGTGGCAGTGCTTTTCTGCTGCTCTGTGCTGTTCACACTTAGAAAAGGGGGGCTCGCGGGGATGTGCTGCTGACTCAACAGAGTCTCTGGGCTGCCCGGAGGTCTTGCTGCCTCCGGAGTCACTTGGCATTCCCCATCAGGGCGGAGCAGCAGCACACGGAGGGCCTCAGGCTGCCCAAGCCATCGCGCTGGAGCCTTGCCTCCCACACCCTACAGCAAGCAGCACAGAAGGAGAAGGCACAACCCCCCACCACCACTCAAGCTGCTCCATTACTTTTCTCAGCGATGGACTCATCTTCTGCCCTCTCCTCCTCCCAAAAGGGCTTCACAGCTTCAAAAGGTGATTCCCTGGGGGAAGCCTCCAGCTCGTGCCTGCAAAAAGCAAAAAGACACCAGCCTGAAGGAAGGGCTCCACATTTGCGTTGCAGCTGATGAGGACTATGGGGACACAGCTCCTCCTTTCCCCAAGTAGAATATGCACAATAGGCTCGATCCAGCAGAACGGCCTGAGGAAGCAGAGTGCCCCAGGCAAGACCTCCAGTGCCTCCAGGGCCACCAGCTTCCTCCTCAGGCTGCTCCAGGGCTGCCCTAGCCTTCCTGTGAGGAAAGCCTCTGCTAAGCTTTGCCAGCCTAATCCCCCAGGCTGCCGCGGCACACCATCTCCCACCTCCTCTCCATGCTCACGTCCAGACACGGAGGCACGTCTGCAGGAGAGGCACGTGGCTTCCACTGACAGTGCTCACATCAAAAGAGACCACAATCACTCCCTGCCAAACCAGTGCATCTGTACACAACAGCTTCCAGCACCCAGGCCACTCACCCAACAGCCCCCGTAGCAAGCTGGCACCCAGCACAGAGCTCTGCACAAGCCCCCTCACAGAGCCCTAACTAAGCCACAGCAAGCCTGCACTCCCCCTGGGAAACAACCCCTGAAAAGAGTTACTCCCAATCTGCTTCCCGAGGGCCTTCACGAGCCCTCGCAGCACAACACGACCAAACACGTGGGGAGAAGCTGCTCGCGAGGGCAGTCAGTGGCTGAAGAAGCAAACAAGCATACTCACGTTGGAAAGACAATGACAGAGCCAGAACGGGTCAGGGAAGCAGCTGTTTCGGTGTCGGAGATGACTGCGTCCCTCATCTCTGGCATCTGCAAAAGCAAAGGGCACACGTGAGAGGCGGCCAAGAAAATGATCTTGTTGCTCACAAGGGCAGCCAATGTTTCCACTGTGCAGAGAAGCTGCTGCCTCTCAGAAACTCTGAAACCAACTTCTCCCCTCCTCAAGGCAGCCTCTCCCTTCTATACAAGAGCAGCTGCAGGACAACACCGCAGGTTGGGTAAGCACACGGGCAGGCTTTGGGCAAGGGCAAACCTCACACCACTTCTTGCCTAATGGAGAAGTCCATGGAGGCAAGCACAGGCAAAGGTCTGTCGCTAGATTGCGTTTCTGGCTGTCGCATTACGGCTGCTGACTTGCATTGCCTGCTCCTGAGCTGACAACAAAGTGTTCCGACATGAGTTTAACCCAAAGTCTCTCCTGAGATCCCAATGGCTGCTTCTGCAGCATGGAGGAAGAGAGACACACAGCCCTCCTTTGCCCCTGCCCAGTGGGGGAACACCTGGGAGTGCCAAACTTCTGGTGTGTGTTCAAGGAGCAGCTGAGCGTCACAGCCTAGGAGCCGCTGGAACCGAGGCTGGAGCAAAGGCCTTGGCCTAGAGACCGGCCTGAAAGGACACCACAGGCTAGGATGGAAGGCAAAGACAGAGCTGGGAGCTGGGGCTGGGCTACAGCCTGCTTGCCTCTCTGGCTTAGCCCTCGAGGGGCTCCGCTCAGCTGCTTTCACACCTCCACTTGCCAGCTGCACCTGGAAACCCAGGCTGAAGGACAGGACTGCACTAAAGACCTGCGCCAGGGCACTGGCCTGCCATGACTGTCTCTGTGACTTAGTGTGGCCACCACTAGCAGCATGAGAGTCCACACATTAGGGCCCTGAAGTCCCCCTGCCTGCTGAGGGGGTGCCAGAGACACACAAAAGGCCTGGTCCGCACAATTAGACCAAGACAGTGACAACAGCTAAAGGCGTCTGATGCCACCTGGGCCTTGCTCTGCCTGTCTCTCTGCTTCCACCTCAGAGAGTGCGGTGAGCAACAAGCCCTGCCAACTGCTGTGCTCCTGACACCACTGAAGATGATGTGCCGAGGAAACCATGCTCCTGCTGGCAGCTCATCCACAAGCTGCAGAAGGACAAGGAATTAGAGCAACGCGCTCCTTTCAACAGAACCAAGAGGCAGTGCAGACGGAAGACAGGCCTACACAGACACAGAACTAGAAACGCTACAGAGCCAGGGGACAAGGGCCATCAAAGGTACCCTGAGCAGCTGCCCTACAGGAGATGTCTGATGCCCCCACCTGCCGGAGAAGGCCAGCATGAAGCACTGGCCCGGGAGCTGGCATTACTCTAGAGCACGACTGTCCCCGTGCCCAGACAGGTGGGGGCAGGCCAAGAGAAAGCCACTCACTCCAACTTTGCTAGGGTTTCCCAAGAGCAAGAAGTAGCACTGCCAACATGAACAACTTACCCCAAGAAGAGCCTCTACCAGCTGCTCAGACTCATTCAGTCTTTGCAGAAGGCTTCTGGAAAATCTCATCTTCACCACGGTGCCTTCAATGAGCAGCATGCCAATGCTGTTCAGAACAAGGGCAACGTTCTTCCCACTCGCAAGGCAGCAAGAGAGAAGGTACATGGTCTCATCTAGGCAAGCCTCCACTATTTGCCGAGAAAAGGAGATCTCCAAACTTATGCGAGCACACTTCAGGGGCTCAGCTTGCTTATGGCCTAGGAAGCAACCAAAGAACACCACAGGCATTAACAGAGTGCTTCAGCAGCCTACAAGAGTGGGTCAGCAGCTGGAAGAAGGGCTTTCCGCGGGACAGTGCTGCAGAGCTGTCTTCTGTAACCCTCTGGGAAAGGAGGCTGATGTCATCCCTCCCCTGGGAGACATTCAAAGCACTCTGCAACCTCGTGGGCCAAGAGTACAGCAATGCTTCCTTCCACGCAGAAACAGAAAGGAAGGCTCCTAGCTGTCTCGTATGCCCATGAGGCAGGAGGGCAGCACAAGCAGAGGAGAAAGGGGGCCAGTTCCCAGGAGAAGCCACTGCTCAGGGTAATTGTGCCCACACTCCGCGCATGCCAGCTTTGAAGAGACTTAGCTGGGCCACGTCCCACTCGCTGCCATCAACAAGGAAAACACATGGACTGCACAGCAGCCCTTCATCTTGCAGGCTGAATCTTAATTCCTCTTCATTAGCAATGAATATTCATTCACTGTAATCTTGACCATAGCCTTCTGGCCACCCCCAGGCCCTCACAATTGCTCAGCACGCATCGCTGCTTTGGGGGCCCAAGGCCTGTCCCCGAGGGATGCCAGACTGACCTTCACAGCACAGACAAGATGGCGTCGTTTGAAAGGAAAGGCCCACTCCAAACACAGCTCCGAGCTCCTGCTGCCCCACAGCCAGCACCAACCCCACGCTACAGCTCCACTGCCCCCAGCACTCACCAGCAACCCCAGCACAGCTGGCCTTGGATAGGCTCTCCTACCCACTAGTGCTCCCATCTCTGTCCCAAGGCTCTTTGCAGAGGGCTTTGACCCACTTCTCAGCAGAAGCAGCTTGCAAGAGCCAGCAGCAACGCTGCTGTTTGCCTTTATGAGCTCTGCTGTGGCAGAAACATGGAGCAACAATTCTAACTCCATCCGATTAGAAGCCGCAGCCCCAAAACACCTGGGATGGAGGCAGCTGTAAAAGCAAGTCCGAGAAGGGGAGAGAGTCTCGTTTGAGTCTGCATTATGTTGTCAGGGTAATAAAAAACCCCAAAAAACCCTGAAGCTGTTCTCAGGACCCAGCAAAGGAATTGTAGCTTTCTAACAGCCATTGCTGAACAGCAATGAGCCACACAATTTGCAGATGTTGCAAGGGGGAGAAAAGTTTTACTCTCTCTTCTTACCAGGAACATAGGCCTTATCATGGGTGAGGCCATGGCACTCCGCAAGACTCCTTGCAAGGCAAAACGTGGGTCTGCGAATGGTCAGAAGACCCTTCTTGCCATCGGGGACTTGTTCTCTACGAACACCGAAGGTCCCAAGTCGAATAATTCTCACGTCCTGCAACCAGAAGAGAAGAGAAGAGAAGACTTCTAAGCGTGTGAGATGGACCAACAGAGCCAGGGCTTGTCAGAGCCTGGCCATGGTGCTCCGTGCCCTGCCCACTGCTGGCGTACAAAGGGGCAAGATGGGGGACCCTCTGGCAAGCTTGGGAGAAGCCTTGGAGAGGTCCTCTGGAAGACCATTCCAGATGGTTTCCTCACCCTCTCAAAATCCTCCTCGTAAATCCTCCCTCACAGCCAGAAGATCCGCAGGAAGAGTTTCACTCGGCCGGGGTGGGGGACTAGAGGAGGCCCAGAAAGCCTCCAGGCCTTCCTGCAGCTGAAACTGGCCTGGAGATTTGTCATCTCACTTTAGGGAGAAGTTGGTCCAGGGCACACCTCTCCTTTGCAGCCTCCTTCTCCAGGGGCTTCAAAGGCGAGACAGAACATTTGCACCCACTGGCCCAGAGGTGTCAGGACTGCGGAACCACTCAGGGCTGGAGGGCAGGAACAGGAGGGCAGACCCACCTTGTTCAGCACCAGCTGCTCCACAATGTAGTCCGACACACCTCCCCAGATATGCATGGCCACTGGAAAGCAAGGGAAAGACATGTCATGCTCTGGGTCGGCCACCTCACAGCCGTTCAGTACCTGCCAAAGCAAGGAGGCAACAAGGAGAGGCGCCATCAACCAGCACCCCCTCTCCAAACTAAGCCCAGCCCTGACAGGGGCTGCAGAGCTGAGGTGGGCACTGCCTTCAGGTTACAGCCTGTTGCCTGACCCCAGCAGAGGTCTGCACCTGAAACAGAGCCATTAGGACAGGGAGATCCGGCCATGGGACATGCACGATGTGTCTCCCAGATCCAAGCCTGCTCTGCCACTCTGGAGGCACAAGGAGATCCAGTGCGAAGGACTAGAGGCAGTGGCTGCGGTCCCGGGCAGAGAGCCAAGCTGAGCTGAGGAGAACGCCAACGACTCGTTGGGAGGGCGTGTGTTTAGGGCAGTCTGGCCAGAGGCCAGCATGAGCTGCAGGACCCCTCAGCCTTCTTCAGACAGGTGCCCTTTCCTTCCAGCCGCAGATCTCATGGGGTGATCCCCTCCCTAGGCATCTTGGCAATGGATTTCCAGCCCAGCAAGAGGATGGTGCTGTGCCATGGGAGTCTGGGGGCTCAGGGCATCCCCCGGGGGCTGCCCTGTGGGACCACTTTCCCCAGTGCCAGATCCCCGCATGCCCAAGCTCTGCACGGCCACCAGAGCAGCTCCAGCTCCTTCTGCCAGGCGGGAGCAGGGGCAGCGCCAGGGCCAGGACCCAGCACACCTCACAGCCACATCACCCCTGCACCACAGGGGACCATCAGTCGGGGCTCTGGGGCACCCCCCCAGCCCCTCCAGCCAGCCCGCCAGCCCAGGCTTTCCACAGCCACCAAGAGAGTTCATCCTCTCGACAGCAGCATTCGTGTGGCAGCTCGCGAAGGCCTCACCCCAGGGCGGGATTACTGGCAGCCCCTGCCCGCATGGCGTCCCGTGGCCAGCGTCCCAGAGCTTCATCCTTCTCCTCCTCGCCCTGGGTCACCCCGCAGCGGTGGCTGACAAGGAAATAGCTCCTCTCCTCCTCCTCCTCCTGCTCCAC